AAGGACGCCTATAATTTCAGTTCGTTGGCTCATTTCATTTAGCAGTACGCGACGGTATTTCATTATTAATGGAACTTTGATTAAATTGCAAGGCCCCCACGTGGTGGCATATAAAAAATTTACGATGACAAATTTACGCAAATTAGACGTAGCGCCAGACGCATCCGGCCCGGTATCCGGCCAAGTCCGGCCGCCTACCCTGCCTGTTTAATATTGCAGAATATTTGATTAACAGTCGCCAATGTGCTTAACATTTTAGCAATAATCGAATCTCTGGCAAAAAGGTTATGACAAAAATATCGCTGGGGCTTTATTGGAATAAAATATACGTTTATGACATGTTGGCGAAATGAAAAAGTTCAACTAATTTGTTTAATGTCAAACGGCTTAGACAAGATTTTGCGATGTGGCATCTGGGGGGATTTGAACCAGTTAATGGTATGTGCGGCTTAAGCTAAATGAACAGCTTATTGTGAAGTCTTCTGTTGGGTAAATGAAGGAATTTGACTCTTTAAAATACTTTTAATATAATTATTATATTAAGCGTTAAAGAGATGGTTGGAAAATTCTCCGAAATTTGATCATATTCAATGAAAGTATAAAGGCTGCATTTGAATTGAGCTGAAACTTTACTCATGAACTCCACCGTCAATGGTTTTGAACTGACCGCACTTTCACGTGGAAGCGTGGCTGGCTGCAGTATTTCGTATTTCTGACGTTTACCAAATTAAACTCAAGGCACAGACAATCAGGCACAAATTGAAGGTCAGCAAGTTGTGCCAAAAATACGAAAGCAACCAAAAATAAACTCTTGTCAGAAGAAATCACAAGAGTTATATTCGGAATAGGCATGCATTAGCATCAATATCAGTTAGCATCGGTATCGGCGTGTCAATAGGACAAGTATTAAATCAAAATGTCTGAATTTGCGAGACGCGGCGAGCACGTACGTATTCAAAATGCCAACTGCCTTTTCTCGTCCTTGACATTTAATTATTGTTGCCTACCTTGCGGCGCGCGCAACGAAACCAAACGACAATTATAAATAAATAAATGGCATAACAACTGGATTAAGCTGTCGGTTGTTGTATTTTATTTAGTTTAAATCTCTTACCTTTGTTTCTTGCGTTAAGTGTGCCGTTTTTTGCCAGCTTAGGTGCAATATTTTATCAAGCTGCCAGCACGAATCCATGGAAAGAAACAGAAACAGTTAATCCGTCAACAATGGCCTCGTTGCTCAGTTTTGCCTAAGTAAAGCTTCCTTTTTGATTGTAGATTAAATGTAATGCTCGCGTTTATTATCTAGTTTTCCTTGGCTTTTGTTTTATTCTGAACATTTTAGGCTTCACTTCTGCAAATCCTTTTCCAACTGTGGGAGATCGAACTATTTTAAAGTATTAAAAATAGTTGCAGCATGCATTCGTTCTTTAATAAAGAAGAACTTTACGGAGTGAACTTAGTTGGCTCAAATAAACTTTCACAAGGATCATTGAAAATGAATTGGAGCTATATTCACTAGTTTTCCACACTTGCGGCTGGAATATCTCTTTACGATTTGGACCCAGTCTGTCCGTTGATAGATCAGGACAAAGATTTATAGATATATGCATATACTTTCACAAAGATCATTGAAAATGAGTTCTAACTATTTCCACCAATTTTCCACACATGCGGGTGGAACTTTAGCTCTAGCGCGTTGGTCGGGCAAAATAAACACGTTTGTAAATACATATGTCATAAATGTAGATACTTTCTTCTATCAGTTAACTTGCGTTAAGCAAACAGCGTTCATATAAGACGCAACTCAAGCTGAAATTGACATATTGTAACTAAGTAACTAGGGCATTTAATAATGAGCTTTATCAAATTTCAAGTGCATATTTATTTGTTTCCTGCAGTGCTAACGCATTCAGCCATTCATAAAGCCAATTAGTGTTCGATAAACCTGTGCATACACCTCAATAAATCGCAAACGTTTGTTGTAAGTAATTTTTTTGTTAGGTTTTTAATCGAATTACTTGTCTGCGCTTAATGTGAACATGATTGTGTTTTTTTGCAATTCTGTGAATTTAAAATTTTTCAGCGCTCATTTCAAGCGCTTGTAAATGAGATTGAACGATTCGCTCGATGCGACACCCTTTGGGATGGCTGGCTTTCAGGCTCATTTCACTAAAAATCAACTTGATATATGGCTAATGATGTTGACAACATACGAGGCGAATAAAAAAAAGAAGAAATATACAACCTTCGGCAACAATGGCGCCCTTGTTCCCTTAGTAGACGTTGACGGCTCGGCAGGGGCTGTGGGTGTTGGGGTCGTAGGGCCGTGGAGCCGCGGGGCGGTTGGGCAACCAACACAAGCCCATACATGCGCTTATTGCAGCTGGGGCACACACAGCTTGTAGGACATAGTCAATATATCTAGATGTTTGCGTATTGTGTTAACGTGTGGGTGCGCCTTAATTAACAAATAATAAAATTGCATTCGCAACACTGTACGATAGAGCAAAGGAACAACCAGCTCGATATATTTGCCACAAAGCTATCGTTTCTGTTCCTGTCTCTGGCATTTTGTTATCGATATGCGCACTCGTTGCATCAATATGAATTTCTGCTCATTTAGATTCTAAGAAAATGAATATATAAATAAAAGCCTTAAAGTAGACAAGAAAAACTCGTTATTTTTATGAATATTTTCGAAGCCCAGGTCAATTACACAGAAATGTTTCTCGTTCACTCAACGTTGATTAAAGAGAATTTGTAAAGTTTAAGCAAACAATTGTTCGCATGCGAAATGCCTGAACTTAGCTTTGAGCACTCGCCTGTTGCTTGCAAAATGATAGACAAATGTTTCGCTATGAATTTGTGCGCATTTATAGTGTACTTTAGTTGAGGTATCTAATGGTCGGACCCTGCACTGATTGCTGTTGCATGTTGCTTAGGGTTTGCCGTGTGCATGCAAATTGGCATTTTGTTGTTGCCACGAATTGATTTTAAGAATCGCCAGCAAAATAAGCTAATCAAATGCTCGCCAATGAATAAACAACCCGATGCGTAATTGAAGCCAGCAAATAAGCGAAGGCGGGGCCCGCTCGTGATGGTCGCTGTGCTATACAAAAAAGTAAAAATAAAAATAAAATTGATTTGCATTTTCATGGGAATTATGCAACAGTGCAGCGACAGCTGTCGCTCGGCGCAAGCGCCACAATAACTGAAATGATGCAATCAATTCTTTGGGACTGTAATTACTTTGAGTGGGTTACCATTACCATCACCATCACCATCGCCATCAGCATGGCAAATAGAGGCAATCGATGGCGAAACATCTTCCCAATTCCACAGAAAATGCAATGCATTAAAGCATCAATGTGTGCATGTTCCGCAAATATCGCAAAATGCACTCTCTAAAAGAATTTTCTGCTTCTGCATTTGTTTGCTTTAGTCACAATTTCAAGTTAAAAGAAACTCTTGGCTGATTTGTATATCGATTGATATTTAAATGACTGCATTTCAATAAATATTGTTCACCTATCGAGAGCTATCGATTGCCGATAACCTTTGCGAGCTCGCATTTAGCTTATTGCAAGTGCATCAAAATTTCAAAAGCTGCCTTCAATTTTTTTTTGCAATATACCGTGTTGCAGGTTTTTCTTTATATTGATTCCCAGCTGATTGAAAAATAATGCTGGCAATCAGCTAATTACACCAAACTAAATAAGTCATCCATACCAGCCAGGTCCGGCTGCCAGGAATGAGGAATGAAGGCCAACTAGCCAAGTTGGCCAACAGGGGAGTTGGCATCTGGCAACTGGCATCAGCAGCAAATCAATTAGCATTGTTATTCGCTGTGATTCGGGGTCAAAGTTCACGCCTCATAGTTTTTCCGCTTCGCAGTTGCTGGCCCCAAAATGTGTGCTCTTAATTATGCAGCTTGTTAGTGCCACAAAAAATTAAAAACACACACAGAACAAAAAGAAGAAATGCCACACGGGCATTTTTTTTTTGCACCGAACTGAACCCCAAGGCCAACATCTGGCTGGTCCCGTGCAACACTTGGCCAAGAGTGCGAACTGTTGCCGCCGCCGTTGCCTGTGAATGAGCAGAGTGGCACACACAAATGCTGCCGGGTTACATGTTGCGCTCGAGCCGGAGCCAACTTTTGCTGTGTTCTGCTTGAGCATGTGGCATGCGATATGATGTGGCTGGGAGGCAGGCAATTTTTGCATTAGCCACACAGTTTGCCAGCACCGAAAAAGTTCACTTGTTTTCCATTTTGAACAGGAATTGTGTGCGAATGCGTTTGCCTCACCCACTCCCGTTTCGCAAATGCAGCTCAATTTTGGTTGTAGAAGGTGCGACAAATATTGTAATTTATGGTGAAAAAAATCATTACATGGAATTACTTGTAATATTCATATATGAAACATATGCTTAGCTTGTTTGAAGTTCGGATCCTGAACTTCGCTTTCATGCTACACACCGATGTGTTTAATCATCAGATCAGTCTTCATATCAAGCTAGATTTTAAATATTTTAAGACTTTTCAATATATTTTTCGAAATATCGATAACATTTGACTACAATTGACACTAGGCTTGCAGCAATCGAAACAATTCTCTTCCATATCGTTGATATTTCTTATCGATCAACAGTTTTTAACACATTCTCGAGTATGCATTAGGTGTTCCTCTTGACTAAAAATCTTCTAGTTTTGGTCGACTTCTCTGCGCGAAGGGAATTGCATACAATGTCTAATGAAAAATATATTTTGTGTTTCACAAAAGTTCTGTTCATTGATTGAAGGCATAATGCCCAGCAATCAAACAGTAAGCAGAAAGTCAGACAAAATTTAATTGAACCGCGGCAATTTGTAAAATAAATGAAATGATTAAGCACAAAAGAGTTTGAGTTTGAGTAAGAGTTTCAGTCGCAGACAACGCGTTTTAATTGTGTTAAACATAAACAAAAAACAGCAACAAAAACATGTTTGTGTTCCGTAGCCAAAGGAAACAACCCACAGAAACGTGACCACCTAGCCACAAGTAACCCGAGCCCAACGCAATGTCCGACAACGCCAGCGAGAACAATGGAGTCACAGCTCCGGGCGGCAGTCATGTGCCGCCGCCACAATACATAATTACCACGCCCAGCGAGGTCGATGCCGACGAGGTGCGCTCCGTGGCAGATCTGGAGCTCAGCTCGCCCAGCGACGACAACGTCTTTGTGACGGGCCTAACCGAGCTGCAACAGCAACAGCTGCTGCAACAGACAAAGCTCACACACACCCAAAAGTACAGCCAGACATCGAGCAGCAGCAGCACCAGCAGCAAATTGGCCACGCGCTCCTATTCCGTGACCAGCAGCAGCAGCAGCACAGCCGCTGCCGCCGCCGCTGCCGTGGCACAGCAGCTGCAAATGCAGCAGATGCAGACGCAGACGCAGCACACCCAGCAGAAGATCATCTCGAGCAGCACGCGCAGCCAGAGCCTGCAGTCGAGCGCGATTGTTGGCGAACAGAGCGGACACATGCTGAGCACCGCGGCGGCCTTGGCCCAGCAGCTGAAGGCGCAGTCGTCGACCTCGATCATCACCAGCGAGCAACGCAGTGGCAGCAGCAGCAGCACCACACGTTACGTCAGCTCCACAGCACAGGGCGGCAGCACGGCGACGGGTGTGGGCAAGGCCAAGTTCCAGAGCTTTCTACAGCAGCCGGAGGCGCACGGCTTTCTAACCGCCCATCAAAAGCATGTGCGTCAGTTTGTGCGCTCGACCTCGGCACACTCGGAGGCGGCTGCCAGCATGACACCGGTGAGCGGTGCTAGGCCGGAAAAGTGCATACGGAGCGCCTCCACACAGATCGATGACGCTACGGCGGCCAGTGGAGATGGTGTTGGCATGGGTGAGGCGGGCATGCAGCTGTCCATGTCAAAGCTGGGACTGCAGCAGTCCTCCTCGATACTCATCTCCAAGTCGGCCGAAACCATTGAGATGAAGAGCAGCTCCTCCTCGGCGGGCATGCGCACCCAGCTGACCCTCAGCGGTGGCTTTCTGGCGCCGCCCAATCGCAAGATCACCATCTTAAGTCCGATACACGCCCCACCGGGTCTTCATGACATGCTCAAGCGAGCCGGACGCTCGCCCTTGTCCCCACGCATCAGTTTCCCGGGCAGCGAGGCGGATCTCTTTGGGTATGTATGCAAGAGCTCATCTTATAAAGAATCCTTTAATTGTGTCACGACATCTTCAATCCTGCTAAGTTTACGACAATATATATACCTCGTCTCAACGGGGGTTCGATCCCTTAGCCCACTGCGCTACTCAATCAACTGAGTTTAGGTGTGTAAAAATTTGTATAACGTATCAGAGTGGCAGAGTCCATATAACCATGTCGGTTGTGCATCCGCAACTTCTATGAAATGCTGCCATATCATCTATACCCTTTGCATGCATCATTTGTATACCCTGATTCTATTGGAAATGGGTTAGACGGATATTATGGTGTCATGAAGCAAGCATATCCGACTCTTTCAGTTATAGGTATATGAAGTCCGTCTGTCCGTCTTTGTCCGTTCTTCTGTCTGACTGTGTGAACTCGTCTATCTCAGAGACTAGTAAGAGCTGGGGCTTCAATTCCAATCTTCACAAAAGCGATAAAAATCGAGAGACAGCACATTTAGTACGTAGGTTCTCGAAGAGTGTAAGCACCTTTTCGCTACCCCCGATCTTTTAAATTTATCTTGACCCAATTCACAAACATAAATGTACTGCACCTTAAGAAAGTTCTAGTAAAACGGTGCAAAAAGTGTTTAGGGTAAACCCATTGCGTGCATGTAGGGTATATGCCTGCAGGGTATTTAAGCTTCGGCGCACCGAAGAAAACTTAGCCGACCCTTTAAAACTAGACCCAAGGGGTTGCTGGCAAAACTGATTGGCGAGTTGGTTGTCTTGGACACTCTGGACATATTTTTCTTTATTTCCTTTTGTACCTTTGCATCGACGCAGAGGCCAATTGCGAACTGTTGCCGAACAGTTCCGTGAAATATTGACTAACGGAGTAGACGGGCAAAGTTCTTATGCCATATACCATAATTTTGAGACTTGTCAAAAGTGCCTCCAGCGGAGCTCAGCTGAGCTGCCTAACACGATAATGTTGTAAACAAAAACTCTTGGATTTTTGTTTATGAACTTAGCCGTTCAACAGTTTTGACACAAAATCGCTTAGCTAATGCGCATTGTTTGTCTACCGAGAGACAACAAAAATCTTTTGATTAACAGCATTGTCGACACAGACGTCTGCCCTTGCCGCCTTCGGCTAATGAGCTTGTTTATGTCCGTTTTCGTGTCCTGTGTCTGCATCCGCGTGTCCCGTGTCTCGTGTCCCGCTGCCCTCAGCCGTGCGCCCAGAATTTGCATATGAAATGGTTCTCTCATTATTAATTGTTGTTTTGGCTGCGAGGCAAATCGCGTATACGCTCAGTGTGCGCTCCAAATGTCACTCGCAGTTCGACAGTTGTCAGTTGTCATCTTTTCCCTGCCCCGCCCCGCCCCGCCCTGCCCGGCCACACGCCACACGCGGACATACACTCCTCCGTTGCCCGCCGGCTGCGATTGCTGCCCTCGGCCCAGTTCGCTGTCAAAATGCCAAAATTGTTTGTCATAGTCGTATAATTAAATTTAAATGTTTTCGTTTGCGACGTGGCAACAACAGCGACATTACAAAGACGCAAACAAAGCGAGATAAAGAGAGATAGAGAGCGAGAGAGCGAGAGAGAGAGGGAGAGAAAGAGGCGCACATGTATCTATAGAGAACAGCCGATAGACGTTATCCATGTGAATTACAAACGTCAGAGCAAGAAAAATAATTGCGACAATTACCCGCAGCAGCATCCGCGGCTACAGTCAGTGCCATAAATAGGCGAACCCAATGACCAGTGAAGGGGTAGCAAAACTTTTAGACGAAATGACAACCGAATGCATTAATTATAAAATCAACTCAATATATAATCCAATACACAATACAAACTGAACTTGGCCGCACACGTGGGCTCTTTTTACACAAACATTATTTAAACAGGTGTTGTCAGCCGTTAGTCTGCTCAGATATCAAGCATATTTTATTTATTTACCTGTTTATTTAATTTTTTCTTCAGCTCTATATAAAGACTAATTGATTGAGGGGCTGACTGATTGATTGACTGTTTGTTGATCAAAGCCCAGTCCTAATCTCACTTTCAACTATCTTTGTTTAAATTCATTTAATAAGCGTTTTACGCTTTTCGCAAAATACATCCTCTGGGATGGAAAACGGCAAACGAAAGTTTTCTCAGAATCTCAGGAAAACTTTGCTAGCAACTTTTGGTTCTTTTGGTTCGAGGGACTTAAAACTCACCTTCAAAATATCTAAGTGCAGTTCGAAGGAGTGCGAAAAATGGGTGGAAAATTGATGTATAAAGGGGGTAAAAGGTGTATTGAAGCTAGAAGCCAAGAACGGCTAAAGCCGGGCAATGTTAGCTAGTATAAAATATAACTCCAGACGTCTTCTCCTCAAGATGTGTAAACCAAAACATTCCACATGCGGCAGATGTGTGAAAAGATGTTGCACAAGATTTGTAGCAAATAGCTGGAACCGAACAAGGCCGAATAATACCAGCTAGTGCATTATATATGCTATTCCCATATTTTACTTAATGCCGCAGGCCTAAACGAATGCCAAACGAATGGTTTGTATAAAATTTAAAAACACATTTAATTTATTTGTTGTTGTTGCTGTTGTTTTTGTTTTTGTTTGAGTGTGTTTCGCCTGCTAATTTATGCAGGAACATGGCTTTATAAACAAACAAAATGCCATTAAGCAATCAGCAACAGTTGACTCCGAAGTTATAATACTCTCGCCTTTACTCTTTGTGATAAAGGCAGGCTCAGAGCTACTCTTCAAATAACTTGAAACTATTTAAAGCAAACTTAACAAAGCGTTAGTCATATGTGCGTTGTGGAAATAGCTTAAAGCTGCTTTAATCAAAGTTATCTAAACTTTGGCTAATTGCAGAAATATCAAATTATTTTTCACAGTAAAATATTTCTGGGCGACTGGCAATAAATTCTTTTAAAATTAAGCAGCTAAATAGAATAGGTATATGCCAAACGGACTTAACTAACTTTTTCAGCTGAAATAGAAATAAAATAGCAATTTATTCAAGGAATTCAATGTGGAAAGTTTGCCTTAAGCACAAGCTAGTTCTGACAAAATATTATTTTAACTTTATTTAAGGAAACGTAACTTGTAGCAATATTATGATGCCCACTTTTAGTGCAACATTAGGTTAAAAATGCAATTTAATTGAAAAAAAAATGGATACAAATATAAAAAAAAATACATTTAAGGAAAACAAACTAGAACTGACGAGATTTGTGGAAGATTAAATTACCTAGCAGACTTGTGGCTTATATAAGAGAGTGTTGGAAGTATATCATATATTGATATAGCTTTGCAGATATCTTAGGAGAAGAAGTTTATAGAGAGGCGATTTTTCTTGCATCTATTATTTTTGGTACTGAAACGACTTTGCAGATATATTAGCAGAAGAGTAAAGTTTGCAGCTCATCTGTTAGATATATCTTAAGCTGAAAGAACAGATAAGATTATCGATTATGTAGTTAGGGAAGGGAGCATGGCTCACAAGCTAGTCTGAACTTCGAGCCCAGTTCCTCTTTGTCGCAAATGACCGCAAGACTTGGTTACTTGGATGCCAATGCACCTGAATGCGAGTGTCTATGAATGTCAATATATGTCAATCAGTTTTGTATATACATGTATATATATATATATATATATATATATATATATATATATATATATGCGAAATCGTGGTGAACGCATCAGAGGCTGTAATCACAGAATTCCTCGACGCAAATTGCACTTTGTCATTTGTCCGGCAACATTGTGAAGGTAATGCCAGTGCCTAACGCATAGTTAGGTTTAAATGTAAATTACTATTAAATATCCTGACTGGACAGTTGATATTGTTAAGAATGCGTTTTAATGAGGCTATCAATTTGTAGGTGGCAAGTTCCAGCTCCCTCGAGGCGTTAATTAACAACAGATGCATATCAAGTGTATTGCAATGTTTGTTAACTTTAACAACTGCGCATGTTCTCTGCTAATGAACTCTTCAAACATTATGCGCCCGCAATCCATCGCTTCCCCGCCGCCCGCATCCGCTCGGCGCGACTCTTGCGTTTACTGTGCCGCATTCCATCAAAGCGCATATAAACATTCCGGCGGCTTTGTTAACAGGAATGTGTTGGACTTAACTATTTGGTGCTGGCTTTAAATTCCGACTAAACCACCAAGCTCAATCCAGTCCAGCCCCCGCGCAGCCCCGCGCAGCCGAGCCCACCCTTCGGGCACAACTCTCGCAGTGTACACATAAATCTCTTAAAGCCAAGGGCTCAACTTTTGCGCTTTATGTATGCGTGACTTATGTTTACAGTTTATTTATTATTTAAAACATAACAGACAAATGGACCAGGCCGGGCCAGGCCAGGCCAGAAAAGCAAAGATAAGAATAATTTTTAAAGACCAAAAGAAACAGAGATAAGAGAAACGGCAGAGTAGGATACAGCTCTGGGGAGCCATTGCCCAGGGATTGACTCGACTTACACTCTGAGTTGGACTCCATTTATATTGTGTCCAAGTATTTTTCAATATGCCGCCTTCCCCCCAAATGCAACGCCCAGTGGGCAATTCTAATGCCAAATTAAACTGAGCTGCTCTAAAGGCGTTCTGGGAGCTCGATTAGAGGCCGAGCGGAAGCAGCGAGCCCCCCTCCAGAAAAACACGCCGCAACTCAGTTTCAGCCCAAAAAGGCAGTCGAAGAGGCTCCAATGACAAACAGGCAAATAAAACCCGCAGTAACAGTACGAAAAGAAAAAATACACAAAATGAGACACAGAGACGCGGGTGGCCTGGTTGCTTAGGTGCGGGCCCAAAGGGGGGGTGGTGGTGGGTGGGTTTGCCTCGGCCCGGCTAAGAAAACCCTTTTAAGACATCGGCACCGCGCGTGCCTTTTCGTTTGTATATATTAAATTCGCGATGCATACTTCTCGGCGATAATGAAGGCATTTTTGCGCGCAGGATAAGGGAAAATGGATGGTGAGTGGGAGGTGCGGGAGTTGCTGTGAGGGGGGA